TTTTGTTGGGTACGTGCAATCAATTCAAGGTGCTGTGTATTGGCAATCAACAAAAAGTGGAAGCATAGCGTGATAGGAACCGATCACGAGGAGGAGAAAGAAAATATTCACAAAACCCCATGCGTATTGCACCATTAGGGCAAAACAATATTCAGTTCGAAAAAAGCAATGTATTGCGAATGCGAAGAATGAGAAAAATGATCAGATGCCATCAGTTCGATTGTAATTCGAGGCCTAAATGTGTGCGGTACAACAGCCTCCATAAAAACAAAACGTGAACAAGAACATACCGATGGAGAAAAAAAGAGAATTAGATCAGATTCGAATGACAACGAACAAGAGAGAAAATTGAGCAACAACAGCAACCGAATCAGATGATATCGTTGTTGTCCCGCTTTTGAAGCATTTCTCTGTGCATTTAGAATTGTTCGTTGCATGACACTGAAATCCATCGGAATCATTTTGTGAAAGACACGCACAGCTATTGTATGTTCCATTTTTTGTCTGGCGATGGTGTGTGCTTTTTTTTCTGTCTTCGCTCTCTTTGATTTGCTTCCTCGTGTTCTGCAACGGAAATTATTATACGAAGCAACACTGTGTGTTGGACGTTTCGAGATGTATGGATTGTCACGCGAACAACCGAAATAAAGAGTTGTCATCGACGCAAGAAAACATGCGTTGGTCGCGTTTTTATTTCTTCTCAGCTTAACAACCATGTGACTTCAAAAAATAAAAAGCAGAATGATCAATCGAATGATAATTTCATTCACTGATGTTCATTTTTAAACACGTCCGCCTCTTATCCATTGTAATTTCCACTCTTGTGGAAAATATTGCATCACACAATTTGTAGCCAATTCAAAACATGGAACAAGAAGGATTTTCTTTTCACAGTAACCATTTTCAAGGAACAGTACCATTCAAACCACCGATAACTGATTTGTTTCTATCGAAAAATAGGCAATTCAACGAATCATAATAAATCATACATTTGATTGATCAAATGCAAACAATTTTGTTTTCATTTTGATTCGGCTTTTGATGCATGATGCCAAAATGTTTTGCTTGTTTTAAAAAACCAACATCATGCATATGAAATAAAGCTTGAAAGGAATAGATATGAGAAACCGTTCAGATCTTTGCAGAATTCCAATGCCTAATCGCGAATGCGCTTTCTGTACTGCTATCTAGCTCTCACTGCTCTAGAAATGGATTGAAATCTAAATGTTTTGTTACTTTAAAATTCCAATGATTCAAAGTTTGAACGTTACCATCAGTCTAACGGCATCAGTATGTTCTAGTTAAAGACAAAAAGTTGCCAACACAATCTCTGCTTCTGTAGAAAAATATCAATTGTAATTGTATACCTATAACTCAATGATTCATACCCCAAACGAGTAAACGATTGAATTCCAATTTGCATTTAATTAGCAAAAATAAAAATCATGTAGGCTCTTGCGGTTTTAGCTCGTTTAGTCAGTAATAATTGGTAAACTCTTGTCGCCACTCGAGGTCTTATTTTAATTCTATTTCGTTAAAAAGTAAACACAGCACTGTGTAGTCGGTATTTTAAATGTAAATGAAAACGATAAAAAATGTGTGGTTCTTCTTTCTATAATAGCGACAGCACAAAATTTATTATGTATCAACGGAACTGCCACATGATATCACATATGGCGATTGAAGTGCTCATTTGACTTGGCCAAAATAGGCTGTGGCTTATTGTTGTGAGAGCTGATTTGGATGCCAAATACAGAGATGGTCAAAGAACACAGCGAAACATATGAAATATTGTATCGAATTAGTACAATGTACAGTTGGAAATGGCAAACTTCATTCAAATGCCCAATTAGTTTTATTCATTGGCCAAATGGATTTTGAATCAACGCATACGCAGTGCTCGTGGTGAGCACAGTAGAAATTTCAGCAGCTGTCAATCATCGTGGAACAGAAAAGCATTCGAATAAGGATATGCTCTTCAGCAGAGGTCAACTGAGCCCAATTTTTGACTACGTCGTTGTTATTAATTGAATAATGGTTTTGACTTTTCCCTTAAATCGATTTGTTCACCATTTCCTTAAAAATTGTGCACAATTTGTTAGAGAAATCCATTTGTTGTGTCTGCAAAATGCGTGTAATCGGTCGGAATGACTTGCATGAAATACCTTATGGAAATGTGTAACTCTCAATGATCATAATGATCATTTGTTTGTTTGTGTGTCTTTTTTTTGTACGTGTGCATATGACATGAAAACCCTATTCACAGTTACTAAAACAGTTAATTCAATCTTATCGTGTAGCAACCCGTTGTCAACATTGTACAATTACAGATTTTCAGTGTGATTTCCATGCGAAATCCGTGTATTTTGACTTTGTCTACCGGCAATAGAAAAGACAATATTTATACACATCCGGACGAAAACATACGTGCTGTCGCGTCTAATTGTATAACTGCTACATACGGTAATGGTAATATGCGAAAGACGCCGTAAAATACTTATTTGGTTTCGTTTCGGTTCATAGAATGTGTATGTGTAACTTTTCCGTTGAAAATGTAAAGATCACAACAGAAGAAAAAAAAAACAACACAAACAAACACACAGTCTCATAAGTTCGAAGAGTGTGACTTAAGTGTGTGGCCACTAAGTCTTAGACAGGCTAAATTGTAGAGAATGAAAGAAGAAAAAAACGTCGAAAAAATGGTGTATATATAGCATAAATATAATCTTATAATCACGACATATTCTTTTTATTGTTAGCTGTTTGGCGGCAAAGCCAGCGCGTCGATTTTGATTTTTGTTGGTACGGTGGCAACGGGAGCAAAAAAAACATACACACAAACACATACCAAATGCTGCAACAAAATGGAAAAGAAGGTCAACAAATAATTGGATCTCTGTGTGCCATTGTGCGATATATAGACCGTTGAATTTACACCAATCAATATTATATTCGCTTGTTGTTGTATACACCGTTTTGTGTGTTGATAAACCCGAACAAAGAGATGTGATCGCATAATTTATGAGTGTGTATATCAAAAATATGAGTCGAAATTTTGAATTTATGTGTTCGAGATACGACTTTTAACCGTTCATTGTCTTTTGACATTCGACGTCACATCGTTGGGATTCGATTAGAAAGTTCCCATTAATAATTCTGGAGAACTTAGCTGGGTGGATATTTTGTTACAACAACGACGACGATCGAACAAAATAAGATTTTTTTCACTATTTTTCACGCTCTTCCAGTTTGCACATGATTCCGCACGAAGCGAGTCGACAAACAGAGCAGAACTCATTCGAAATGCAACGGGTTGAAAATCCAAAGCAACCAGAACTTCTGTAGAGTAGTATATATCGCGCGCGCAATGAATGCATTAATGAAATTTTTAGGCATATCATCCGATTCAAATCCAGTTGTTTCGCATCAATTTTTCGATTCGAAGAAATAACGCAGATGTTTTGGTGTATAATATTGGAAAAGGGGGAGAAAGAGAGACGAATGCAGAAATAAAACGAAGAAAAAGAAACAGAAGTCATATGGCGTAAACAAGCGATATTATTCCTTTTATCGTATTGCATGCTGCTGATTTTGATCTTGCACTTGATTCTTTCTCGGCGCTCGATGCACTTCGAGATAGACGATTCGAAAGAAACGAAACAAATCCACTCGACACAAGCACATTAAATTCATCGTCAATTGTTAATGCTAATGACGTTGCATCGTTCGCGAGAAATAAAACAAAAATGCTTTTTTTTGTTTTTGGGTAAACAAGCACAATGACAGATACCAGATCGCGCGCGAGGTTTTTAGAAACGACTATCTACAATTCATGCATTCATTTAAACAGGAAAGCGAAGCCAATTTTGAATAAACACTTTGGTGAATAAAAGCATTTCAATTTTCTTACACGCACACACTCCATTCGATCGTTTCATTTTTTTTGGCTTTCAATTCGATAATCATAATAATTTCCGAAAGTGATGATATGTTGTAGGTGTGAGTATATATATATGGAGTTTGTATGTATACAGGAAAACCCCCATGATTTTTCTAGCACGTCATGTAATTCACAAGGTCGTTTTAATTGAAACCAAAAAGAATAACACACAAAAAACGATTGACTTAATCTGCGTCGTTGCAACGTACACCAGCAATACTCGCACATACAAACTACACTCAACTGCTGATAAAACTATGAAAGCCTACTGAATTATGCCGTCCCATCTATAACACCTCATTCACACTGGCGGCCACGCGCATATTTAATAACATTTGTATTTATCTTTCGCACACACACACACACACACACACTCGCATTTGCGTTCAGCTGCATATCGAATTGCAATTGCGATTCGAATTGCGTTCAAGTCGATGTAAAATCAATTTGACGCTCGAATTGAGCGTTTAGTTTTTAGTTCATTTATTCACTGCCTACAGCTGACGTAGACGCTGACGCTAACAGACATAATTATGACATGATTGCGGTTGATATCAATTCTGATGTTTTTATGATCATAAATTCCTTTCAAATTTGAACGAGGTTTTTTTCGGTTTTCTGCTATCACGATTCGCTCATGATTCATACGTAATACAATAGGAAATTAGGAGGAAAAAAACGTAAGTCTCGATGATAAGAAGGCGATAACACTGAAATTATTAGATAAAACTTTGTATTTGCGAATTTTTCTTCTCTGTCATTATTATTATTTTTTCAGTCGATGAACCGCTCGAGTCGAAGTGTTTTCGTTCGCCGATGTTAAATATTGAATGTGGCGTCATTTGTTTGCCACGAATCAAACGTTCAATCTTTCGTTTTTAAATCTCATTATTATTAGATCTGTATTATGATAAAAAGTAAACATTCAAACAATCACTCAACGAAAAGTCAACAAGTCGCCACGCCGCACTCGTGCCAGATTGTGGCTTTTTGTGTCACTTTTGTTTCTCATATGATCTTGCATTTTTATTGATTCAATTCTTTCCCGTTGATCGTTTAGGATGATTGTCGATTCGCAGCTTGTGTGGGTGAGAGACTCAACGGAGGGCTACATTTCGGGCCACATCTCAGAAATTGGACCAGCCGAATTTGAAATTGTTCCCATAGACAGAAAGTATCCAAAACGGATATGCTCAGTTGACGATATCTTTCCATCATGTGATGGACCACAAGATCATGATGACAACTGTGAGTATTGAAAAAACATTCATTTCATTGGATTCTAAACTTTCGCAATTGGTTTTTAGGTGAAGTGACAGTTTTTTCTCATTTCATCTGATTAACTTTTTATTTGAAAACAAAAAAAAACTGATTATTCTTATCTTTTACGATTGCAGGTGAGCTTTTGTTTCTCAACGAAGCCACATTCTTAGAAAACTTGAAGACTCGTTATTTTAAGGATAAAATTTATGTAAGTTGAAGCCGCATTTTGAAAATTCATTCAATTTTCATTCAAATAATTATGTGAACTTATGTTATATCCAATCAAATGCCAATTTCATCCATAGACTTATGTGGCGAATATTCTGATTGCGCTGAATCCATATAAGGAAATCAAAGATTTGTATTCGGATGCGGCCATCAAACGGTACAATGGAAAATCGTTGGGTGAATTACCTCCGCATGTATTTGCTATCGGTATGTGTCTCTCTCGCTCGCTTGTTGCATACTTACTTCAAACCTATAAGAAAAAAATTGAAAATTTTAATTCCTTTTTCTATTCAAATTTCTTTCATATTTCAGCCGACAAAGCGATCCGCGATATGCGCGTGTTGAAGATTTCCCAATCGATAATCGTGTCCGGCGAATCTGGAGCTGGTAAGACTGAATCAACAAAATATTTACTCAAGTATTTATGTCATTCACTGGCGGCGGCCGGGCCCATTGAGCAAAAGATTCTCGATGCAAATCCAATATTAGAAGCGTTTGGCAATGCTAAAACCACCCGAAATAACAATAGCTCACGGTTTGGCAAGTTCATTGAGGTAATCATCATCACCGTCTGTGTGTCAGTGACACTAATCAGATTATGGAGTGTTTTATTTTGCATCAGCAACAATGTGTTTACATAAGTTACATGTTATAATAAGTTGAGCACAAATTGCTTTGTTATAGGTACATTACGATTCGAAATGTCAAGTTGTTGGCGGATACATTTCACATTATTTACTGGAAAAAAGCCGTATCTGCACTCAAAGCCAAGAGGAAAGAAACTATCATGTATTTTATATGCTTTGCGCTGGCGCTCCTCAACACATTAAAGAAAAACTTTGTCTGGGCAAACCGGACGATTACAGAGTACGTAACAACAATATGCAGAATAGAAAATTGATTTTATTATAACCCAATTAATGTGAAAAAATATTCTTATTTCGATGCAGTATTTGGCTGGATGCACGCAGTATTTTGCAACGGCATCGACCGATCGCAAAATCTCACAATCGAGCAAATCAAAGGCTCACATGGCCAATGGACCGATTAAAGATCCGATTTTGGATGACTATGATGATTTTCAGCAGTTGGACGAGGCATTGTCGCGACTTGGCATGAGCGAAACCACAAAATTGGAGATTTATGCACTGGTCGCAGGCGTCTTGCACTTGGGCAATATCAGCTTTGAGGAGAATCCAGAGGATGTTCGCGGCGGGTGTCAAGTTTCAAAGTCATCCGAACACACGCTATCGATCACATCCAAACTGCTCGGTGTTGATTCATTCGAGTTGCGCCAAGCCTTAGTCTCACGTGTTATGCAAAGCAAAGGCGGTGGTATAAAGGGAACGGTTATTATGTAAGTGAAACAATTGTGCAATGTAAGAATGAAGTTGGATCGAACTTTTTGTTTGACAAAACGTATCCATTTTCAGGGTCCCATTGAAAATCTACGAAGCAAACAATGCTAGAGATGCTCTGGCAAAGGCACTATACAGCCGTTTATTCGATCGCGTCGTTGCCAACATCAATCAGAGCATTCCATTTAGCTCTTCCACCTACTACATCGGTGTGCTGGATATTGCCGGTTTCGAGTATTTCACCGTTAATTCATTTGAGCAATTTTGTATAAATTACTGTAACGAAAAACTTCAGAAATTCTTCAACGACAACATTTTGAAGCACGAACAAGAGTTGTATCGCCGTGAAGGATTGAATGTACCAGAAATTCAATTCACTGACAACCAGGATATTATTGGTAAGCATACTGACATTTCATTTTCCGGCAACCAGGGACTTCATTTTTTTTTCAACATTTTTTTTTTCATTTCTGTTAAAAAAAATCCAGAATTGATCGAATCAAAATCGAATGGAATTTTCACGTTGCTCGACGAAGAATCAAAATTACCAAAGCCGTCTTTCGATCACTTCACATTGGAAGTGCATAAGGCTTGGAATGGACACTTCCGATTGTCACTGCCAAGAGCATCGCGACTCAAGGCCCACCGAACCTTACGCGATGAAGAAGGTTTTCTCGTTCGACACTTTGCCGGTGCTGTTTGTTATAATACGGTAGGTACAATTGAAATTGGCTCGTCCATAAGAATTGGATCAGAATGTGGAAGTTTCCATTGAAGACCATAGAAACAGCATAGAAAATTGGCTAAAAAAAATCCATGGAAATAATCAAAATCTTCAACAAATTTCGTTTCTGTTCATTAATTTACCAATATCATTTATTTCTCACGCAGAATCAATTTATTGAGAAGAATAATGATGCGATGCACGCATCGCTGGAGGCATTGGTGCAAGAGTCGGCAAATCCATTGATAAAGCATTTATTCTCCGGAAAGAATAGCAACGCATCTTCCAAGGGAAAATTGAACTTTATTTCAGTTGGATCCAAGTTCAAAACACAGCTGAGTGAATTAATGGAGAAACTCGAACAAAATGTAATTTTCATCAAAATTCCTATAAAAAAAATATTTGAAATAAAAAAAGTGTTTTTCTATCTCAGGGAACGAATTTCATTCGTTGTATCAAGCCAAACAGTCGAATGGCCGATCGTGAATTCGAGGGAAGTTTGGCATTGACGCAGCTCAATTGTTCAGGCACAACATCGGTGCTAGAGCTTATGGAATACGGTTATCCATCGCGTGTTCCATTCGGTGAACTGTACAACATGTACAAAAAGTTTTTGCCGCCTGAGCTCGTAAAATTAGAGCCAAAAGTGTTCTGCGAAGCAATGTTACATTCGCTAAAACTCAATCGCAAAGACTTTAAATTTGGAATCACCAAAGTCTTCTTTCGACCGGGAAAATTCGTCGAATTCGATCGCATCATGAAATCGGATCCAGAAAATCTGAAAGCAATCGTTGCAAACGTAAAGAAATGGTTGGTACGCTCGAGATGGATAAAATCCGCATTCGCCGCAATATGCGTAATCAAATTGAAAAATCGTATAAAATACCGCAACAAGTGTGTATTATACATTCAGAAGATTGTACGTGGTTTTCTTGCACGTAAACAACATCAGCCGCGTTACCGTGGTATCATCAGGATAAAATCGCTCAAAGAGAAATTGCGACGATCAACGGATATTGTGAACCAGGTAAGGGGCAGCAAAGATGCAATTATGAAGCAAGCAAACGATGTTGAACACCTGATCAATGGCTATGTGAAAAACATTCAAAACGATAGCCGCATCAATCCAAAGACCATCGATAAAATGTACAATGACATCATCACCAAAATCGATAGCTATAACAATTCGTTGCAATCCGAACTGAAGGTTTGTTGACATTTTTTTCGGACTTTTTTTTCTTTTAAATGAAAATTACCGTTATTAATCAATTAAAATTTATTACTTAGAAACAACGGCAAGCCGAAGAGCAAGATCGATTGCGTAAGATTCAAGAGGCCCTTGAGCTCGAACGTAAGCAAAAGGAAGAAGAAGAGCGCCGAATACGCGAAGAAGAAGAGAACCGAAGAAAGTGAGTCATTCATCAAGTGGCACATTTTTTTATTCACGTGACAAAATTTCAATTCATTTTGTTTTTTGCACAGGAAAATCGAAATGGAAGCAAAACGCAAAATGGAAGAATTGGAACGAAAACGCCAAGAAGACGAAGACCTTCGGGCAGCTGTTGCATTACAGGTACATCATTTTTTTTTTATATCTTCCTATTTGGAATGTAGTGTCAAAATTCAAATATTTGATCGTTTTTTTTTCATCAAACCTAAATTGAAAATAGAATATTTTCCAGGCGCAACTAGAGAAAGAAGCCCAAGAGGATAACGAATATCGTCAGCAGCTTGAGCAAGAGCGTCGCGATCATGAGCTAGCTCTGCGTTTGGCTGAAGAGACCAACAGTCAAGTTGACGATAGCCCGTTGCTGATGAGAAAGTACGTACCGAATTTAATTCGATAAGAATAAGCGTAGGAGGGGAGGGGAGTGAATATATAATTTTTTTAAAATCAAAATTGCACACTTTAAAATGAGTATTATGGTTTGACTAGCGCGCAAGCGATTCAAAATTTATCCTTTGGATGTATATAGAGAATAAATTCTAATAGATTAAGTTACTGTACAATATCTATGGGGATGAAGGATATTTAGCAGCGACGGAGTCATTTGGATTCTTTGTAAAAAGTCTGTATTTTTATCAATCTTATATTAATTAATTCACACAGCGGTAGGAGTGATGTGACCTCGCTGAATAATTCAAATCGTCTAATCAGGTACATACAACTGAACACAAACACCAATTTCCTAACCCCGTTTAGTTTGTAAATAAAATGCAAAATTCTAATTTGGTAGCAAAATTTTGGCACAACTTTTTTCCAAACTTGTTGTTTTCACTTCAAACCCAATGGCGAGCTGCAATTGTAAATAGCTCACGTGATGTAAGGTTGTAGTTGAAGAGAAATAACTTGAAAATTTGTATCATTTAGATCGGAGAATGTTCGGGCACAACAGCAAATGAACGGACGACAAAAGCATGATTTATCCAAATGGAAATATTCCGAGCTGCGAGATGCAATCAACACCTCGTGTGACATCGAATTGCTGGAGGTACAACAATTGCGAGTTTCATTCAATATAGTTCTTAGAATTCGAATCGATTTTTGTATTTATATCAAATCACTTTGTCGAAAATTATGTAGCTCCTGTAAAGGAGAGATTATGATTTTTAACAAAAAAACTAACCGAAATTTGGTTTTGCTTGATAAAGGCATGTCGCCACGAGTTCCATCGTCGCTTAAAAGTGTACCATGCATGGAAGGCCAAGAATCGCAAACGAACCACGATGGATGAGAATGAACGAGCACCACGCAGCGTTATGGAGGCAGCAGCCCGATCACCAATGCGTGTTCAACCGAAGCAGGAAATTATCTTTTCCACACATCGTTACTTCCGTATCCCATTCTTGCGAGCGAGTTCGAATCAAAACGAAAATGATGCAAACCAAAATGGTTTGAACACTGACACCAGTAAGTCATTTCACAACATTATGATTTTTGACCGAAAAAATAATTTGGTTTTCTTTTAATTAGACAAGCGTGGCTTGTGGTATGCTCATTTTGATGGGCAATACGTCGCAAGGCAAATGGAATTGCATGCAGATAAACCGCCGATATTGTTGATTGCAGGTAAGTCAACAATTGATTTTTGCTACATTTCTCTCTCAGCATGAGCTGTTTCAAATGATGATTCTTATTGCAGGTGTTGATGACATGCAAATGTGTGAATTAAGCTTGGAAGAAACTGGATTGACCAGAAAACGCGGCGCTGAAATACTTGAGCATGAATTCAACAAGGAATGGGAACGACATGGTAAATTGAATTAAAGAACAAAATAAATTTCAAGCCAATTACTAAGCGTTTCATTTTGTTTATTGTATTTTCAGGCGGTAAACCATATCGGAATTTAGGCTCTGCACATTAGGCCCAGGTTCTTCTTAAGAACTTTACACATTCGTCACTTATTTTCTGGATTCATTTGACTTTTCCTACTTTTAATATTATCACAACACGTTTGTGATCGTTACATACAAAAAAAAAAATGAATTGAACACTGAATTTATAATTTTGCTTTACAAAGTGATTATATATGAATTTTTTTCTCTCGTTTGTTCACGTACATTTTAGTGAAGAAGAAAATTTTAAAAGAAAGATTGTAGATACTATGGAAAAACCAACAAATTTAATAATTAGACTAACCACAGTGAATTTGTTTTTAATCAAATTTATTTATAAAACAAAACAAAACAAAAAAATGATAAGACAAAAACCTTATTTTGCGTTTGAAGTTGTGACCTTTTTTTATATTCACATATAACATATATTTCCATATGTATGTTTTACAATTCAACAATAATTATCACACACAATCATTGTTAAATGTAATTCAAATGTAGACAATTACACAGAAAAAAAAATCAACAACAACAACAACAAAACATAAATTATATTTATTGAAAAATCCTAAATGAATAAAGATGTTAGTTTGAACACCAATTAATACATATTGTTTGTATTTTCATTGTGAGATTTTCATGCAGTAAATGTGATGAGAGAAATGATGTTCCAGTGAACCAGCTTCTATGGACTCTCCAAAGGATCGACACCATTTTTTGCACCATTCTGTTTACATTTTTTTGAATGTTTATTTATTTTACTGCGTTGTCAGCTGATTTCAAAAACCGTTCAATGGTCAACATTTGATGGTTGTATGTATTAGGGGAACTAAGTCTAACATATGCATTCTCCTCAACTATGAAAGTTTAAATATAAAAAAAAGTTAAGTCTAAAATAAAATACACAATATTAATGGTCAACAGCTATGAAACGTAAAAACGTCACCAAATTTTTCCGGGCGAATTTATCATACAATTCAATAAATGTTTCTATGTTCGATGTTGATTATTTTTCTTCATTTAAAATGAAATCTTGTTATTTTTCGCTTTTCACGTTTTCATTTTCCACCAAACTCTTTGGAGTCACATTGCCTTTTCGACCGCACTTGCGCGCCATCTTTTAGAAAGCGTATGCAAAAGTGAACCTCTGATGAGCACATCGTTCCGTATTTCGATGGTTATGTAGTCAACTTCAAGTGTGTTTCAAAATGCTGCTGTCAAACCAACTCGTACTCAAAATATTAAAACGGCAGTTTTCACCAACCGATTTCAGTCAGTCAATCGGTCATCGAACGTGAACTTATCATCAGCAGAAAAAAAAAGAACAAAATCATGACGGAATTAGATTCAAAAAGTGAAATAAGCCTGGAAGGTGATACGATCCTTTCGAAAATAGGAAAATTGACAACGGTCAACAGTCCACGGGTAAGTTAAAACACACAAACTTGAATCGGACGTGTCAATTCACAACACGATAATTAACTGTTTCTTCGCATCTTCCATCGTTTGGATAGGTGCCATCGATAAAAGACTTTTCCATTATCAAGATCATAAGTCGTGGTGCATTCGGTCAAGTATTTCTCGGCTATAAAAATACAGATGAAAGCAAACTGTTTGCAGTAAAGGTAAGTGTCAACCGTGGACATTTTCAAATGGCCCGTCGATTAAAAGTGACAGCTTTGTTATGGTTTGGTTTTTTTTTAAATGTTTTGATTTGTCGTTGAAGGTTATGCGAAAATCCGAAATGGTAAACAAAAATATGATTTCTCAAGTGATTACGGAGCGAAATGTCTTGGCATTGTCAACCAGTGAATATTGTGTTCATTTGTATTATTCATTGCAAACGCCATTCTACGTGTTTTTGGTAAGAAATATTCAGAATTTCAACGAAACTTCGAAAATGATCCCGTCTAATTGAACCGTTTTGCGTCTGATTTAGGTTATGGAGTACATGATTGGCGGTGATTTAAAGTCGCTGATTGCTGCATACGGATATTTTTGCGAATCAGCCGCTCAATTTTATTGCGCCGAAATTACCATGGCTCTGGAATATTTGCATAAACACGGAATCATTCATCGAGATATAAAACCGGACAATATGCTGCTATCGGCATCGGGACATGTGAAATTAACTGATTTCGGTTTGAGCAAGATTGAGATCAGCAGAGGTATGTGTTGAAGGGAGTTGAATTCAATTCATTGAAATTGGGAGATTTAATTTGTATTTCGAAAGTTGAAGATCATTTGCTTGGGGCATTCAACATAGAAATTCGAGAGATTGCATGGAATTGTTGAAATATGTGCTCAATTGGATCTGACAGAATGATTGCGATCATTTTTACCATTCCAAACCATGTATTTCATGTGACTTAGTCTTAATCAATTATTTTTTGCTTCTTTTCAGATTTGGAATTGTCCGATTTCACAGCGTCTTCACCGTGTCTGACCACACGTACTCCCGGTCAACTGCTCTCGCTAACATCACATTTGACATTCGGATCAGGAGAACCAAAGTCTCGCAATAGAAGTAGGCTGATGAATGCCATCAATCGACAGAGTAAGTCTAAGATCATTCTCTTTCCACTCAAACATTTCGACATTCACCATTTTCTCAAATTCAGAATCACCTGATGAATTGGATACGAGCATTCACAAGAACAACGTTTCAGGAGTCTTACCATTTTTTTCATCCGAAGACATAAGTGTCTCGATACAACCGTCCAACGAAAGTGTAAGTACAAAGTTCATATTGACCCAAATGAATCATATCATTAGCATGTCGTTGTTTTTAACACACTTTTCCCTTTGTTTTTATTACTATAGAAAGATTCAGCATCGTCTTATTACACGTGCAATTCGAGCATCGGTAGTCGAACAGTGAGCAGATGCGATTGCAGCCAATTAAGTGCAAACGTAAGCTTCAGAAACATGATGAAAGAGAGAAAGTGCGATACTTGCAAGGTAAATAAGAGCAAAAGAGATTAGCACACTCGGTCATTGTTTGAAGCAATAAAAGAAAATTAAACCATAACCTATGATAAATGTCTTTGCAGAACAAAGAGAATAATGACTCTCTCAGATATCCAATAGCGAAAATGCGCTTCGGCAGACATTTGAAAGAGAATGAAGACTCTGGCATTTCGTCCATTCGATCGCACTGTGAATTGTCGGCCATCGAAAAATGCGAAAACCAATCACACAATCCGGTCAAAGAAGACTCGAACACAAGCTCCAATTTGTCGAAAAGGTACAAGAATTTGTCAGCCCATTCCACATTAGTGCATTAACAATAACTAATCAATCATTTTAGCTCTAACAACTCAAATCATGATACTAACAACTCGAAAGCAACTGAATCGCCTTTGAATAATTCCACACATAAATCGTTCTTCAAACGGCCGTGCATTGTTTCGTAAGCATTTCATTGCCATTTAGTTTTCGTTGGCTCATCAATTGGCGACGGGATTTAATTGTTCGAATGTTTTTTTTTTTTCGTTTTAGCGGTGCCAAGCGGTCACATCATATGCTCAACGTACCAGATGATGCATGTTCGCAGAGCACAGGCCTAACTCAAGAGATTGATATCATGGATATTGGCAGCAGCACACCGAAGCGGAAAAAATCGAAATCGCCACTGAAAGGCGTTCTAAAAATCAGGTATAGACAACAGTTTCATTTCAAAGGAATCAAGCTAACCCTCTTCTTTCAATCCACAGATCGTTGTCAGATGATGAGGGCCCTGCTAATGATCATCCAAATGGTGCTCAAGTGATGTTTTCAACGCCAGTGTCGTCGCTAAAAACGCCAAGAAACTCGGTGCTCAAGCTGAAAAGAACAACGTTTCAGTTGCCAACCAGCGAAGAAAAGATACGAAACAAAAATAATAGTTTAATGTTAGCTGCACGTTACATAAATGTGAGTTTTATTTAGTGAAAACACAATGATATCAATTTATTCTAATCAACTCTTGTACTTTTGTCCCTAGGAACCTGCAATGTCTCCGATAAATTCGGCTCACATTGTCGATGGAACGCCCAAAGTAAAGCAAACACCGTTTCGAACACCGAAATCAATTCGACGTAATCAGGCCGCGTCGAGTGAACGCATCTTGGGTACCCCAGACTATCTCAGCCCTGAACTTCTTCTTTCGTATGTATTTTTCGATTTTCAATCATTTCATATTATTCCGAGTTTTTAGTAAGAAAATTCTCAACATTTTTTTTCATTCTTCAGCCAAAAGCACGGTGCTGCTGTTGATTGGTGGTCACTCGGCGTTTGTTTGTTCGAATTCATGACGGGTATTCCTCCATTCAATGACGAAACGCCACAACAAGTCTTCGAAAACATTTTGAACAGAAGTAATTGATTCAATGGATGAGTGTGACTTGAACTGTGATACTAATTTGTTTTGTTTTTTGTTCTCCCATTCGACAGACATTCAATGGGACCTAGCGGATGAACCGTTGTCGGCTGAAGCAATCGATGCCGTCGAACAGCTCTTGACAATGGATCCAAATAAACGGCCCTCATCGAAAGAAGTGCAACAAATGATGTTCTTCAAATCAATGGATTGGAACAATCTGCCCAACATGGAACCACCGTTCGTGCCACAGCCCGAAAATCCAACCGATACCGGCTACTTTGAACCCCGGAACATAATGCAACACCTCAAACTATCGAACATTGATATCGGCGAATTTGTACGAGACTAAATTCCATTCCACATTCACACGATCATGCGATTCTCTATTTAAATTTATATTTCTCATTCGATGTAGATTATTTGTCATTATGTATGTAACGTGATATATCATTCGAAATTTTATTTCTGGTCAATAAAAACATTTAAATAACGGTAGAAAGAATAGAAGAATAATTCCAATCCAATGTTGTTATTGAGTTGTATCGCAAAGCAAAACAGAAGATACATTCAAAATGGGCACTGAATATAGCCGAATAGAGAAACAATTACGTACAAATAGCGCTTGCAACGGTGAGCATTGAAAGCTCGTTGAGAGAGAAACACAAACGTATCTCAATATGTATAGCATGGAATCGCGGCAGCTGTCGTACGAGTCAGAACGCTCCGCATGGGTTTCGCAGTGTTGTCTCTGTTGCTCGTCAACGACTCGGCCGTTGCATCCTATGAGAACGTGCGACGCCAAAAAAGTTTTTATACCAAAATCTCTCGCATACAAACATAAACACCAAAAATTACGAGCTCTCTTTCCGTCTTTCCCTTTCATCGATTCTATTTTCGCAGCAACTTGTGCTGGTCTCGCTCATACAAACATTCAATACAAAATAAATTGATACGTGCAGATAAGATAACCAAGTTTTGTACCGTTTGTTGAATAATATTTCATTGTTAAACACCAATTCTGCCATGAAAAAAGAAGAAGAGAAGCAAAACATCCGGAGCAAATACGACGAGTAAAAAGAAAATCCTTTGTCCCATCGAAAATGTCCATTGCAATCGATGTGTTTTCTGCTATGAATATATCATTCGATGTTCTATAGTGTGTTTTTAGTGTAGCGCGTCTTGGCTAAAAATCATACCAGTTGCATGGAACAATGATCAACGCGAAAACGTTTAATTCGCTTTTTTTCGATTGGATTGAAATGGTGGACGACAATCCCAACGCTGATACAGTCAATATTCCTTTGGTCAATATTCCACCACTGACGATTCCAGCAACCCTGGAAGATATAAGTGAAATGGTCGGTGCAGTCGCCTTAAATTCACCACCCCCACAACAACACCAGCGTGGCAACATCTACCACAGCGTCAATATGCAACGCACTTTATTGATTGGTACTACAGGAACGATCGATATGTGGATGCCACAATTTATTCCTGGCCCACAATGGACACAACAGCACAAAGATATGGGTATCAAATTCATCGCTGATTTGGCTGAGTCTGGTATGATCGTGCGCGATCGAGAGAAGGCCATCACACTTAACATCTTGGATGAATGGTTAGCCATGGGCAGTCCGTAAGACAAAGTTGTACGTGTCGTGCCCATCAATTATGTAAGCCCAGACGGCACTGTCCACGTCGTTGAATATGCTGCACGCATCGTTGAGCACTTGGGTGACACCAGTATTAATGGACTAGGTGTATTCAACCAAGACATCGTTGATTTCCCCTTACCATCACTTGACGGTCCATCGTTCCTTGTGTCTTACATGAGCAATATACTACGTGAAGTAGGCGCCAACTTCACTACAAACAGCAATTTTGGCATCGAGATTGCGTCCTGCTTGTACCCGCAGCAGATGACAGCTGGTCCAACCTGCCATGTGCCGTCAGATCTTGTGTCGGCCGCTGCTATGATGACCAACGCAACGTGTTGTTGACACACATCCCGCTCCGCGAAACCAAACGCTTGAATTGAGTCAAACCATCCGACGTGCAGCAATTCTATAAGAATGTAACATTCGCAAACCAAGCGCTCGAGCACTTCATCACCACAATTCACCCGTTCAACAACGAAGAATTAAATGTCATGAAGAAAGTAACGACATTCGCGCTCGAGAACGGAACAACCATTGCTGACAACACGTACCTGTACTTCAAGTTATACGCGAGAGCTAAGATCGAAACACTCGAATGGGTACCTCAGCTACCAATCATCAACGACGTTAACCGAAGTGTGCAATTCATCACGACAGGCGGTGCAGCCATCAACCCACTGCTGACGGCAGAAAACTGGCGACTGTGGGCTCGCCAGCAATATTTCACGTTTTTCCAGGTCTCAGCACCTGATGCCGGCTTTCGCACTATGCTGTGAGTACTAGGTTACGAAGGTATGTACTTCGTTCCCGATCCTGCACTGCAAACCGTCTCATGGCAAGGCCTACGCTTCCCTGGTGTCAACATCCTCTACTTTAGCACTGCCCACTTCGACAATGCTGCCGTCAACATCAGTAGCCAGGAGCTGTTGTCGCAAACTGTCCGTCTAGCTGCCAGCCGAAGCGAATGGAATGACTTCACTCGTGGGTTCACCCACGCCATTGAATTGATGGCTGGCGGATTGCATCGTTATCAGCGCTTAGACCATGCTAACATTGCGGTTGCTGCATCGCCCCAGCCATTCCAGTTCCCAACCACTGCTGAAGTTGCCAAAGCTATTGCTTTACGAAATGCTGGCGGCCCACGTGGAAACGTCGGCGAAATACCTGCTGCTGCTGGATTAGCATACAATGCCACCAATTCCAACAACTGTAATCATCGTAACTTCACCGGTGATGCTAATAATCGCGATGACGTGGATCACATTGACCTTGCTGACTGGTAATACGTCATCTTGGACGCATTCAACCAGATGTTGCTCCCACCGCTGTATCGACCAATGAGCACAAATTGGTTTCACACCATGCTCGGTTTTGTTGGCCGCCATGGAGCGATTACTGGATTACAGTACCAAATTGCTGAATACAAAGCAATTGATATTGTCCGTATATTTTCATTTGGCTTCATCATGATCAGTACCGCTGCTACAGCCGTCAATATTCCTTTGGTCAATAATTCCAAGAATATTGGTTCATTTGATGAGCCTAAACAAAAATAAAATGTTTTACCATGTAAAACGAACTTTTCCGCACATTTTCGGTAGAATGTAAAATATATAGTCAATATGGGATTGACTATACTATGTAAAAATGGTATGAAGTCCATCGTGGTCGACCATCGTGTTTTAACACCATTTAACATCACTTACCATGGGAAAATCGTGTAAAAACAGTAAAAAAAATAAAAAGTTTAAAAAAAAAATTCAAAAAAAATTCCAAAAAAGTCAATCATGGTCGGCCATCGTGTTATAAATCATTTAACACGGATTAAAATGATAAAATCGTGTTAAAACAAATCAAAAATCCGTTCTATAATAACAAAAAAAAAAAAAAAAATTCAAAAAAATCCAAGGGTCCCCCCTTCGGTGAAATTCTATGACATCCGAAAATTACCAGATGAACTAGTCCAATTTGGCCAAACTTTTGATACATCGACCATTCCACACCAAGTGGGACAAAAATTGCAAGTGACCTCTCCGATTTCGCTCAAACTTGGTGTATAAACTTCTTATGGCCAAAAACTCGCAAAACCAAAAAATTAGGGTGACCTTCCCCACCTGATGAAAAGTTAGGGTGACCCAAATTTTGAAAAAAATGAAAAATGGCACTTTTTGACATTTTTACACGAGAAAAGTGTGCTGCGACAACCCCATCCGGGCTCATTCAAGCTCTGAAAAGTGGGTTCAAAGTATAAAAATGGCAAACTCTTTCTTGACGTGAAATTTGTTTTTCGAATTTTTGGGCATAAAACTCGGCCCACCTCAAATTCTTGAGTTTTTCGATATTCCCCAACTATCCGCCAACTCATATTTTATGAGAAAAAAATTCGGTGTTTTCACCATTTACGACTACTTATTTTTTTTCACACCAAATAGGTGGTCTGACACTGGTGAAGTGTTCTGATAAAATTCTCGCCAGACTCCAACGAATCAAAAAATAACAATGTTTGGGGTCGCCCTCCCCTTTGGAAGGGAGGGGGAGGCTAAAAAGTCGAAAAATCACCGAAAATCACTATTTTAGGGCAAAAACAGGGCAGAAACCCGCTTTTAGCCCCAAATCACTTTAATATTCGGAAATCGCGTAGAAAATTCTACTTACGCGTAGAACATTTTAACTTGATCAAACCCTTCCTTCTGCCCCAAATCGAGGTCGGCAGTTTGAAAAATCATGCTCCTGCAAGTATGCAACCATTTTTAACTGCTTCTAAGGCACTAGCACTGGTGCGGTGTGTTCCTAAAATGTAGCGCTTGATGTCTAGTTTCTTTTGGCGATAACATGTTTCATTTATATGGTTCAAATTTGGCATTTGGGAGGCTAATATTGAAGAAGAAGGTGAAAAAATCGCACAATCTCACCACAACTGCCCAAATCAAGGCACTGGACCTCATTTTTGGCCATAAACGATTGCATTTTCGAATTCTTCGTTGAAAATTAGCCTAACCTCAATTTTTTGGTTCTGCGAGTTTTTGGCCATAAGAAGTTTATACACCAAGTTTGAGCGAAATCGGAGAGGTCACATGTAATTTTTGTCCCACTTGGTGTGGAATGGTCGACATCCAAGGTATTTACTAATAGTGACTCCTGGCCAAATTTGAGCGAAATCGTTTAAGCGGTTCGAAAGTTATCGTGGACACAACCAAAAATCGTAGTTTTTGGGCCATCATGGTCGGCCATCGTGTTATAAACCATTTAACACTGCCTAATATTATAAAACTATGTGAGAACGATACAACAATCCACTCTAGGTTGATGAAAAAAGACATTTTTTTTTCGACATAATCCAAGGGGGGACCCTTGGGTGATTTTCTATGATGTCCCAAAAGTACCAGATGAACTGGTCCAATTTGGCCCAACTTTTGATACATCCAAGATATTTAGTCACTAATTGTGACTCCTGGCCAAATTTGAGCGAAATCGCTTGAGCGGTTCGAAAGTTATCGTGGACACAACAAAAATTAGCACACTTTTTATCACGTCGATCGCTATACTTTTCTCACACACTTCGTGTGCGGAAAAGTAAAAAAAGCACGATTTTATGAGTTTTGCAGTAAAATGAGTCCTCCTATCGGTTTCAGTGCTCATAATAATGCTCATAGTAATGCTATAATGGTTATTTCATTGGACCATATTGTTGAAAAGTCTTTGAAGACAATAGACCAAATTATTGAAAAGTCTTTGAACACAACAGACCAAATTGTTGAAAAATCGTTGAACACATTAAACAATACTATTTTTCGCGCTATCGATTACACCGTTAATAAAACCGGAATCAACATAATTACGCAGAAATTGGTGGAT